TCTGTGTCTCTCCTTCTCTCCTCCTCTCACTCTCTCCTTCCCTTTCTCCTTCTCTCTCTTTCTCTCCTCTCTCTTTCTCTCCTTCACTCTCTTTCTCCTCTCTCTGTGTCTTTCCTCTCATTCTCCTCTCTCTCTTTCTCCTCTCGCTCTCTCCTTCTCTTTCTCCTTCTCTTGCTCTCTCCTTCTTTCTCACTCTGGATTGTGAGGTGCTAATGCTTCCTGCAGGCTTGTATAGTCCGTATCCTCAGCTTGCCTTCCTCTCCTTCCTCTCCCACCTTTTCCTCCTCTTCCTCCTGCGCATGCCGAGGTCCCCAGCCCCTTCCTCTCCCTCCCCTTCAGTGGTGTCACCATTATGATGATGACGGCTCTGCCGAATGACACCGAAGGAGACCAACCCTGCGCCAGTTAAAACGTGGGGCGCTTGGTGGGATATGCCAGCGAGCCGAAACTTCCCGTAAAACTGGCAAGGGGGACGCAAATATAATTAACGGCAATAATGCGAGGAAAAATAAGAAGAGCATTGCTCTGGCTGCCAGGGGTTGAGAGCCAAGTTTTTCCACTGGAAAAACTGAAAAGAAATTGGAAGCGCCTTTGAGCATCCGGAGCAAGGGAAGAGATCGGGTTTGCTGTGCCTTCGCTCCTCACACTTCTTTGCACACCGGGAGTCCGTGGATTCCAAGACACCTTGCAGCTTTTTAGCTTGTGAAAAGCTGGGTGTGAACTCAAGTGAAGTGGTTGCCGTCTCTCCTTTTGTTGCTGATTTCGGTTCCTATTTCTCATGTTTGCGTGTGGGAGTGTGAGGAAGGCCTTGGGAGAGGGAGACGCAGCCAGATAAGAGACGGCTGAGCCCACAACAGCACAAAGGGCAGAGAAAGATACTTAGAAGGAACCCTCCCTAGTTTCTCAGGATGTACAGGAGACGTGGGAGATTTGTACTTTCAAACCTGCCAGATTCTGATAAATGGAGCTTGATAATAAAGTAGAATTAGCTTATCACATGCCGTATGTCAATGAAAATTCAGCCAGCCAGACAAAAGTATTTAGAAGCTGTGTTTTTTATTTCAGACTTTCCACTTTGGTTTGGAAAAGGAGACGGGTTCCTTTCCAAGCTTTCTGGATAAATGCACGTGTGTGTAATATTGTATGTGTTAAATAATTATCAGCTTTTCCACCTCCCCACCCCCCCCCCAAAAAAAAGTCTGCCATAACTTTCCTTGCCACCTTGTGATGCAGAACAAACCTTCATCCTCTCTCTGTCTTCTTCACCGTCTCCCCAGGATCTTCGCGACCCCAGGACTCGTGGAGAATGGACTATTCTGTGAATGGCACCCTAGCTGAGAAGCACAGCCCCATAGATTACGGAGTCCAGATCCGGTTCATCGATGACTTGAAGGAGCCCAGGAAACCCCAAAAAGTCCGCCCCAAGGCAGGCAAGCCGGGTTCCTACGGCGTTGCGGTGCGAGTTCAGGGTATCGACGGTCAACCTTTCGTGGTCCTGAACAGCGGCGAAAAAGGAGGCGATTCCTTCGGGGTGCAGATCAAAGGAGGAAACAAATATGAAAGGCCTGCTCAGGGCCAGACTTTTGAGGAGACTTTTCCGGGCTCTCCCAGAGTGGGGTCTTCATCTAAGGACATTTCGGGGTCCATCAGCTCTGATTCAGATCTTCCCGAAAATCCTTACGGGGCAAAACCTTCTCGATACGGGTCTCACTACAGCACCTCGGATGAGGAACCGGGTCTCCAACGAGTGCCCCAAGCGGATAGCTTGGATGGGATTCGCGTGTCTCGCACCAACCCTTCCTCTGCTTCCCATAGCGGCTATCGGACCCTGCCCCACAAAAAATCCATGGGGCAGCAGCACCTGCGGCGCACTCAGTCCCACAGTTCTTTGCTCGATCCTGAGTCGAGTGACCCTCAAGAGAAGAACCACTCTCGAACTCATAACTCGGGTTATAGTTCCCGGACCTCCCCATCAGGGATCCCAGAAAGGGGTACCGGGGCACGGAACCCCTCTCCCCCCAGGGTCCCCAACCTCAGGGAACCCACAACCACCAACTTCTCTGGTTTGCGAACGGTTTCCAAGCCTGCGCCCTCGGACACGGACTCGCCTGAGCCGACTCAAGCAATCCGGACCAACAACGGTGACATCGACACAAAGCCTCTGTCCTCCGTGGACTCCTTGATCCACAAATTTGATGGAAGGCCCCCCCCGAGGGGCCGAGCCTCCCGCAGGACCCGAGTTTCCCCCGAGAGCCATCAGCGCTCACGGAGCCTCGATGCAAGGGGAGCTTACCGCGATACAGCCGACGGACGAGAACGAGAAATCGACAGACCTCATCCGGGACATTTCAAAGAGGTAGAACAATCCTTGGCGACTAAGCCACTCGTTTCGGCGAATGCCCCAGGCAGCCGGGGAGCCGCCGGCAGTCAAGCGATGAAGGAGAAGGAAGTAGACAAATCTAAGATGATCCAGGATTGGGTCAACAAGAGTTTGGAGGAGCCCGGGACGGAGAAACAGACGAGAAAACCCCAGTCTGATTTGCAGGTAATTTTCTGGAGATCTTTGCTAGAGTCTTGATTTTCTTATCCCTCCTGGGATCTGGTGGGAAAAACCACAATACTTTTGATGATGGGACGTGTAGTCCAGTAGTATCTTTGTCATCCCTTCTTTCTGGGAAGGGAATTCTGGTTGGACGCCGGTAAGGTTCTTCTTTGCACATACATTGGTCTCTAAAATGGACCGAGATTAGGTTACTCTAACCCAGGGGTCACCAAACTCGGCAACTTTAAGACTTGTGGACTTGGCTGGAGAATTCTGGGAGTTGAAGTCCACAAATCTTAAAGTTGCCAAGTTTGGAGACCTCTGCTCTAGCCAGAGACCCTTACGTGGATGCTGTCTGGTCATGGGTGACCCATCCAGGCCCTCTTTGACTCACCAAAGTTGGGTTTATTCTTCCAGCTGAAGTCCACCCCAGATCTTCTGCGGGATCAGCAGGAAGTGGCCCAGCCAGGAAGCACTGAATACACTAAGGAACTCATCTACAGCATCTTGAAGGACAGGTAAACCCCGAAAGCCAGCTTGAGCTGAGCCTAATCCTGGTTTGAGCTCACCCCAGCATCTCCCTGAATGTTTCGGGGTAGCCCTGCGGAGATGCCACACCTTTTTCTCTTCCGGCTTCCCAGTTCCTGTCGGAATCCTTAAACTCTCCCCATGCCGGGACTAACCAGGTTGGATCCTGGCTTATCTTTTCCAAGACCAAGCCACTTTCCGGTTTTAATGTATGTTTCCACATTCTCCTTGGGCCTCGGTGCTCTTCGAAGTTTTGGGAAATTTGAAATTGCCCAGCGGGGAATGGGACAGCCGCTGTGAACATGGCTGGCAGTTCCTTAACCGGGGTTACCGCTTGGCAGGAGATCATGGCTTATTCGGGATAAGGTGGCTAACAAACCCTCCTTTGCATTGGTCTCACCTCTGTTGTCGTTTTTCAGGAGCACCGAAAGTGACGCCACGGCGAAACGGAAAACCAACCTGGTCTTTGAGAAAATCCAGGCGTTCGCGGTAAGTCTGCTCCCAAATTACACACACAATTAAGACTCAACAGTGGCCGCCAGCGTGTGTGTGTGTGTGTGTGTGTGTGTGTGTGTGTGTGTGTCCCTTCTGCCTCTTTCGGAAACCATGAGGACTAGCCACTTGACATGAGAGTTCTCTTAAGAAAATGGCTGCCCCAAAGAAATGGGAGTTTGCTTTGTTGTTTCAATTTGGAAAAATAAGTCTGATTTAAAGCTTTTATTTTCTCCTGACTGGGGAGGAAGGCCATCCCTTCATCAGAGCTAAGAGGGTCCAGTACAGAGATGACCGAACCGAAGACGAAGGTGGACGAGCCGGACAGCCGAACCAAGGTGGACAGAATAATTCTGTATTTCTTGCTTCTTGCTGTATGTGTGTCTGTGTGTGCTTGGCTGCAGTTAACTCCCTCAGGGGAGGGGGGGAGACGTTAGGACTCCAACTCCCATCTTGCCCAGCCACTGGCCGTGCCAATCAGAGCCGCGGAGAAGAGCCTTGCCTGCAAAGTGTGAAAACAGGCACCCCAAACCGTGGCAGAATTAAGTCCGGACAACTCCTTTGCTGATTCACTCCCTTTAAGCCCTTTAAAAAGAAAATAAAAAGTTAAATCAAATTTAAATAAGCATATATTATACGTACATAGTTTTTTAATTAGACGTATTTGCTGCCTGGCCTCGGAAGGCGCCTCTGGGGGCTTTGCCAAAACACTTGTTGCAACAAGGAAAACCTCGCATCGCACAGCTGCTCACAAATAACGGGAGTCATTTAATGGCGGTTTAAATCATAAAGACACCTTGACGTGTTCCGAAAACTAAACGAAAACAAAACCCAAAAAAGTCTAAAACATATGCATTTAAATAAATAAATAAATAAGCAAAAAATCAATAAATATGGTTGAAATGAAGGGGTTCAAAAGAAGGGTGAATAAATCTGGGTTCCTCCACGCAGGGGTCCCGGAGTCTTCCTCGCCACCTGCAAATCCGGCTGGAGGAACTGGAGGAAGAATGCCGGCGGCTCCGTGAAGCCTTTGAGAAAAAGAGCCAGGAGCTCCAGAGCACGGGGAAAGAGTGAGTAGGGGGGGGACTTATTTGGGTGGGGTGGGGTGCAGGGAGGGGGATTGGGCCCAACGTAACAACCACCGTGCTTAGCAGCGGAAGTTGTGTTCGTAAATTAGGAACCCTCTTCAATCGGATTTTTGCGTCGTTGCGCGAGAGCCGATGTCCCAGGGTTCCAGCAGTTACCCCTGTTTAAATCAAGAGTCTTGAGCTAAACTTCCAAAACTTAAAAAAGGATTTATTGGGAGTTAACATGGCCGGCATTGCCTGGGTGTAACCGACTCCGAGACACATGATTCACTGTCACTCTTGACCCTGGTTTCCCCCCCTGGGTGTATCGTAATCCATATTCTCCAATGGGACACATCCATAGCCCAGAATCATCCATCATATTCTCCAATTAGAATTTTGCCCAGCAGAAACTTCGGTCCCCTAATTACTATCTTTGAAAACATTGATGGAATGCAGTTTCAGTTTGCAAGCAGCAGCACTGCTCCCCCCTCTCTTTCCGTTGGCCACTCTAAAAAGACCACAGAAATATTGTATGAGTTGACACGAGGTGTGTCTGGAGTTGTGTGTTTCTTTCGATCAAGGCTAGCACTTCTTCCCTCCCCTTGAAGGTTGAGAGACGTCCGTGCGGTCAAGGAGCAGCTGGAAGCCAAGCTGACCGACCTCGAAGACCAACTGACCGAGATGCAGAAGGCGCTGGACCGCTTTCAAGAGCTCTCGGGCAGCCCAGATCAGGACGCCTTGCTAAAGGTTAGTCGAGACTCCCGAGTGGACGGGGCCCAAACCCTCCAGCCGGGCCAGGCCGGGCCCAGAAGCAACGTTTCTCTTCCTTGGTGTCTCCTCAGGAGCTGCTGGAGACCCGGGAAGACTTGGAGGCAATCTTGACCGCCAAGCAGAAGCAGGAAGACCAGCTGCGCCAGAGGGAACGCGAGTTGACAGCTCTGAAGGGGGCCCTGAAGGAGGAGGTGGCCAGCCATGACCAGGAGCTGGATCGGGTCCGGCAACAGTACCAGCAGGACATGGAGCAGTTGAGACGCAACATGGATGACGTGTCTCAGGTGAGTGGCCTGGTCTGCCTCCTCCCGCAGGTGGAAGACCCACAGGATGAAGGAGTCTCGCCCAACCTCTGGTTGACATGCTAGATCTTTCCATGGAGAGATCCTCGGTCCAGGAGGCAGGGAAGAGCATGGTATCTTCTGGCCTTCAAGAGAGGTGGCCACTAGACCAGGGTTTAGGCAAAGAAAGGGACGTCACTTGTTAACCTTGGATCTTCGGAGCTTGGGAACTCAAGGTCTCATGTCTAGTTCCCAGGATGTCTAGGAGTGAGACGTTGAGGGCCCCTGTGATTTTTCTCCAAACGCAAGGTCCACCTTGGGTTTGGAGAAGATCTTGATTTGGGTTCTACCTCTTCTTTGACTCTTTGAACGTTGGGTTTCTTCTGGGTAGGACCAAGCCAGCCTGGAGGCCGAGAGGCAGAAGGTCAACTCCCTGGTGAGGACCCTCCAGACGGAGCTTCAAGAGAGCCAAGAGGAGGCCGCTCACTGGAAGGAGGTGTCCCAACGAAACAAAGAGGAGCTCCGTAGTGTCAAACAAGAGTGAGTAAGCCACCGGTCCCCATCACTTTCAAACATCGTTAATCACCTTGAGGGGCTTCAGGCATGGATTCCATGCACCTCGGCTGGTTCTCCAGCCGTCATCCACCGGACAATGTCAATTATGGGGTGACATTGTTCTTGAGACCCCATCGCTGCCTTTCGTTGGGCTCCGGTTGGCTTTCTGGCTTCCTGCCTTGCTTGGTCATTGACGCGGTGGTGGCCTTCACCTCTTCCAGGCTGATGCAGGTCAAGGTGGAACGGGAGGAGTTTGAGGAAGACCTGAAGGAAAGCAGAGAGCGCTCTGCAGCCCTGCGGAAGGAGATGGACCAGATCCGGAGCTGTTCTACGGACGCCGAGGAGCTCCACGAGATCAGAAAGGTGGCGCTTAGCTACACAGGCCCTGAGCAACAAACTAGACCACTTTCAAGGCGTGTGGACTTCAACTCCCAGAATCCCCCAGCTTACATGGGAATTCACAGTTGAGAAATGCTAAGATGGACTTCTTAGCTGTGTGTGGAAACACCACCAGGTTGAGACCTCCGATGAGGGTTGAAGAACTCCAAGCTCCATCATCCCTGATCACATTCCCATGGCCTGATGGGTGCTTGAGTGCCAGACCGGCCCTTTACTCCTAGTGTAGAGGGAATATATTTTTCTTATCAAGGAGCCGCAGTGGCGCAGTGGTGAGAGTGCAGTATTGCAGGCTCCTTCTGCTGACTATTGGCTTCCTGCAATTTGGCAGTTCGAATCCCACCAGGCTCAAGGTTGACTCAGCCTTCCGTCCTTCCGAGGTCGGTAAAATGAGGATCCAAAATTGTTGAGGGAAAGAGGCTGACTCTGTAAAACTGCTTAGAGAGGAGCACTATAAAGTAATATATAAGTCTGCTCTTCCTATTTTTTCTTCCTTGCCTGATCCCAGAGAGGCCTATTCACTCTGTGTCTTTGATTTCCACCAAATACGGCAATAGCCACAGGTCCAGATATCCATGTCCATACTTTGCCATTTTTAAGGGCTGAGGAGCATGGGCATGTTTTGAGGATGAGTCTCAAGGGCTTTGTGGTATCCCAGCTTGGATTCCTGAGGGGTTAGGCCTTTTACCTGGTCCCACAACTGTCCAAGCTCTTGAAACCGGTTTGCTTATTGGTTGGGCTGCCATAACTTGAGATGCCAACGGAAGCCATGAACCATTCGTGGTCATTCAACTTTCTGGGATGGCTCTGACTCATTTTCTCCTCCTCCTCCTCCCAGGAACTCCGTCAGGCTCGGGAACAGCTGCAGGACATGGTGGAGGAGAAGGAGGACCAACACAAGGTCCTACGCCTGCGGGAGAGTGAGATATTTGACCTGAAGGAAAAACTCAAGGATGAGGTGGCTTCCCGTAGCCAGGACCTTCAGGGACTAAACTTGAGGTTCCAAGAGAAGATGCAGCAGCTCCAGAAGGACTACGAGGAAGCATTTAAGGTAAGCAGGACCTCGGGAAGCAGATCTGGCTTTTTCCAAACTGGTTCAGCGGCCAACGTAGTGGCGGATTGCGATGGGACACCTGGTTGTCTTCTCCATCCCTTCCTCCTGTAGACCAAGGCGGCCTTGGAAGGCGAGAAAGGGGCCATTGAGCAATCAAGGAAACTGGTGGAGTCCACCCTGCGGGAAACCCAGGAAGAGAACGACGACCTTCGACGCAAGATCTTGGGGTTGGAGACTCAACTCAAGGAATACCACCATTTTGCTGACAGCTGGCAAGACGTGGAGACCAGGCTGAAGGAGAAGATATTCAAGTTGGAGGTAACTGGAAGGAGAAGCGAGGTTCTCTCACTCGGTGGTCGACTTCTCCATGTCCTCTTTTGAGTGTAGATGGGTCTTCCATCTGTAGGCCCAGATCTGCCGTCTCTTGCCCTGATGACCCCCAAATCCAGTTTCAAGGTTCTGTAGGTTCCTCCGAGCGGAAAAGGAGCTTCCTGCTTGGCCAATCTCTTGGGTCCTCCTGCCTCAGTTTCCCCTTTCCTCCTCCTCCTTCCAGGCCGACCGCAAGCAGATGGAAGAGTCCGTGAACAACGCCGTGGACCAAGAACAGGACTTGTTGCTGGCCAATAGGTCCCTGGAAAGTCGTCTGGAAGAAGCTCAACGCAACCTCAACAGACTCACCGTGGAGCACCAGGACCTGAGTACCTCCTACCAGGAGGAGCTGAAGCAGAAGGAGGCGCTCAGGAGGGCCAAAAACGAACTGGAGGAGGAGAAAAGGTTGCTAGACAGAAGCATCGTGAAGCTGACCAAGGAGGTCAGTCTGGTGGAGGGTCTGGGTTTCCAAAAACGCCATAGGTTGACGCTTTCTGAGATGCCACCTTGAGGACGCAGGCGGGAGCCAAGCATCCCTGCTCCCCCCAAGAGCGTTTCTGAATGCAGAAGGTCCCGGGGCGAGGGTCCAGGGCGAGGCCGACCCTGTGGTGGTGAGCCTTGGGTGTCCTCTCCTCTTCCAGCTGAAGCAGATGGCCGAAGAGTCTCGCCAGGGCCTCTCGGACCTGCAGCGCCAGCTGGAGGAGTACAAGGAGAAGTCGCGGAAGGAGATCAGTGACTCCCAGAAACAGGCGAAGGACCGGAACGGGGAAGTGGAGAAGATGCAGTACGAGTTGGGAAGATGCCAAGACGAGGTGGGCAGGGAAAGGTCCCCTACTCTCTCTGTCTCTCTCTTTTCTGTCTCTCTCTCTCTCATCTGTCTATTATCTATCTTCCATCTATCATCTACCTTATCTCTCTATCATCTGTTTGTCTGTATTCACCCACCCACCCTAAACGATCTGCCGGTCCAACCCTTCTATCCTCCCTCCCTCTCTCCCTCCCCTTCTTTCCTTTCTCTTTCTCTCTCCCTTCCTTTTTAATTGTCTTCCTTTCTGATCCTTTCTTTTTCTCCTTCTTTCTTTCCTTCCTTCCTTTCTCTCTCCCCCTCCCCCTTTTAATTTCCCCCCTCCCTTCTTATCTCCCTTCCTTCTTTCCTTCATCCCTCCCCCTTTTAATTTCTTCCCTCCCCTTCTTCCTTTCTTTCTCTCCCACCCTCCCCCTTTTAATTTCCTCCCTCCCTCCCTTTCCTTCCTTTCTCTCTCTCCCTCCCTCTTTTAATTTCCTCCCTCCCTCCCCTCGCTCCCTTCTTACCAACCAACCAACCAACCTTCTATCCATCTTTCCATCCCTCCTCCTCCTCCTCCTCCTCTTCAGGTGCTGCGTCTCAAACAGGCCCTGCAGGACAGCCAGGCCGAGCGTGAGAACGCCCTCCTGGACAAGGAGCTCCTGGCCCAGCGGCTCCGCAACCTGGAGCAGGAGATGGAGACCAAGCGGCGATCCCAGGACGATCGATCCCGCCAGGTCAAAGCGTTGGAGGTTTGTACCGGTCTCTGGATGGATCCCCCCCTCTCCTTTGGGAGGGGGGGCGTAGCTACAGGTAGTCCTCCACTTACGACCAGAGTCGGGACCGGAATATCCGTCCCAAAGCGAGACAGAGTTGCGAAGCGAGCCGGGCCCAATTTTACAGCTTGCTATGCTGCCGCCATTACTTCCAGTCACCAGCAGAGGGCAGCATCTGCTTTCAAACTTAAACCCCCCCCCCCCCATTTTATTAAACTCCGCGCTGTAAGCTAAGCAGTTTTTGCAATAACCCCAATTCATTTTGCGTTGCAAAATTTTGCATTGCCAAAACAAAAATGCTGGGGCCAGCATTTTTCGTACTGCAAAACTTTGCATTTTCCCCGAGCCAGCATTTTTCTAGAAGGAAAATAAATATTTTTTCACCCTTCCCCTGTTAAAAAAGGCAGCCAATTCCAGAGCAGGGGAAAAAAAAAAAAATCACCAGCCCATTTGCTAAAACCCAACATGAAACAGTGTTTTTGGACCACTTGTGGATCCGGTGCCCTTGCTAAGCCCATCCCTGGGTTTGCAGGATAAATCCAAGCGCCTGGAAGTGGAGCTGGATGAGGAACGCAACGCGGCGGAGCTTTTGACCGAGAGGATCAACCGATCCAGAGATCAGGTGAGCTGCGTAGGGCCTCGGATGTCGCCCCGAGTCCTAATACGCGTAGAAAAGGGGGTACCTCGGCCGTTGCAAAACACAACGTCCCACTTTTATGGCAGACACCTCGAAAAATCTCACACGTTGCACGTTATTTGAACCTGAAAGTTAATTTATCTCCCGTCAACTCAAAAAAAATATTTCTACGGTCCTTTTACCGTTGCCAACAGAAAAAGAGGGGAGAGCTTGCATTCCATAAATAGTTTTCAAAGATAGTAACTAGGTGACCAAAGTTTCTGCCGTGTAAAATTCTAACTGGAGAGCGTGATTGATGATTCTGGGCTATGGAGGTGTCCCATTGGAGAATATGAATTAGCACCGGCGTGTTTACTCCTAATAAATCTTCTTTAAGTTTTGGAAGTTCAGCTAGAGACTCATGATTTAAATGGGGGTAACTGCCAGATCCCTGACATCTTCTTCCCTGCCAGGTTGCCTCCGTAGCTTAGACGTTAATTGTCATTCCAGAATCGGTCAGATTGCTTGGCCCTATTGGTTTTGCAAGCAATAAGAGGAAAATATTTCTCTTGCATCAGCGAGCTTCGGCGCTTCCCGTATTTCTATTTTGTACGAAATCTGCAGGGCCCGTCAAAAGCAGATTGAGGCCGCGTCTGTCAGGGTGTTTACACCCCCTTCTCATCCCCTCCCAGCCCTTCCCGGCGCTGTCAATGCTTATATTTAGTTTTCTGCAAGACGTATCATTTCCTGGGCGTTTTAGAGCTGTGTCACCCAAGCAGTTTGGGGAAGGGAAAAAAATAAATAAATCGGGGAGGGAGAAATTTAAAAAAAACCAAGCGAAAGGTGTTATTATCACTAAGGTTTGCGAGCGTCTAGACAACCTTTAGTGTAAATATTGTCACGGAGCCATCTTGCAAAGGGAAGGGTTGGGCTGGGCTAAAAGATCAAAGGCATTTGTAATGTAAGGCAGGATTCGAACTGGAGACACAAACAGCCCCCCCGGGTTTTCAGCTGCCGAGGGTCCCCGTTGTTCCATTGACAAGGGGCTAAAAGGAAAGCTGGATGGTTTGTGCAAGAAAATGGGCCTAAGGAATCCTCCTTGGGCCCCGACGGAGCCTCCCCCTTCAGGTGCAGTGTATCACCGCGTGGTTTCAGCTGGCCTCCTGGGGGAAATCCCTCAATCTCTTGGACTTCTCCCCGAAAGAAGAAAGCAAGCTCTTCAGGGCCAGTCCTTGGGCTCTTTTTTTATGTCTTTAATTTGAACCGAGCCACCGTGTGCAGGAGCAGTCTACCTTCGAGCGGGAAAACACTCGTTCGGGGAGGCCTCCATCAACCAGGATGGGCACCTGGTAGCCAGACTTAAGTTTATCTCCCGCCACCTCCCACCCCACCCCCTTTTCTCTCTCTTTCTTTGCAGATCGACCAGCTACGAGCCGAGTTGCTGCAGGAACGGTCCGTCCGCCAAGACCTGGAGTGCGATAAAGTTGCTTTGGAACGACAGGTAAGCGGAGCAGAGATTCCAGGCAGTCCTCGACTTAATTTTTTAATGGAAAAGATACTTTTTTGGCTCTTTCCCATGAATTTTTTTCCAGCTCCGGCCAAAGGACCTCGCCTCTTTTTCTGCTTTTCATCAAAAAAAAAAAACCAACCAACTCAGGAATTTCCTGTGCTAAAGGAATAAAATTCTCATTGTTTCTGATCCCCCCCCCCAAAAAAACCCTTTCTTTTTCTCCACTCTCTCCCTGCAGTAGACCAACCCCAACAAGTCTGAACTTGGCTTGAGGATGTTTACGGACTTTTTGAGACTCAACGCAGCTCTTAAAAAGAATAAAAAAGAAATATTTCCCCCCCCCCTGGCCATGGTTCGCTGCAAAATAATACTAATAATAATAATAATGCCTGTTATATAACTCGTTTATTATCATGACTTATCAGCTCAGCCAAATTTTTCACGCCGCCTTTCACTTCGGCCTGGCTCCTCTGTGCCCCGCTGACCTAGCCACCTGTACATTTGGCAATCTCTGAGCATCTCTTGATTGGCCAGGTTGCTCTGCTCAGCGGAACAACTTTGAATAACTCAAGCCAGTGCAAAATAATATTTATTTATTGCATTTTTTTTCCAACCGCCCGCCTCCCTCGCCACGGGACGAAAGTTCTGTGTGTTTTAGGAGGAAAAATAATAATAATTGAGGCTCGAGTAGAAAGAATCACCCACTTCCTTGGTATTTTAAGGAGGCGCCTGATGTTGTCTTACACGAATTTCACATTTCTGTGCAGAAAGGAGAAATAATAAACTTATAAGTAATAGGAAAAAAAAAACCCTTTGGGCTTCCCTCCTGATTTTAGCATTCTCACGTCTTCAAGAAACAGAAACAGCTGTGGGTTTGAGCTTTCACCCTTCCCAGGCAGACCGGACAGCAAAAACAACCAGATGCGTTAATCCTATTTTATTCTACATGAACAGAATCTTGTAGGTCTGAAAGTATATATCTCCTGCTGTCTCTTTTATACAGCCTGAGAAATATTTCCTTTCTGACTTTCTTTCTCCACTCATTATGCAGCTGAGGGCCCTGTGCTCCCTTCTCCAATTCTTCCCGTAATCCGCATTTCGTTCCTCCATCCTCCAAGGTCATTCCCACATCCCACTGTTGGGTCTCCTCCTTGGAACGGCTCCTCCCAAATCCACCTGTTTGGTTTTTTTTGTAAGGGACCTTTTCTTGCTGTCAAGAAAAGGATCGCTCGTCTCATCCTGGGGAGTGGAAGGATTTGGGGAGGAGGGTAAGGATCCCCTTTAAATCTCTCCACAACTTCCTGCCCGCTTTCTATCATTTTCCCCCCCCCCCACTCCTGTTGCCAGAACAAGGACCTCAAAAGCCGCCTGACCAGCAACGAAGGGCTGCAGAAATCCAGCGCCAACGTCTCCCAGTTGGAGTCGCGGATCCAAGAACTCCAGGAGAAGCTCCTGGTGGAAGAGAGGTAACCCTCTGCGCGTTCTCTTCGTGATGCTCGTGTCAGGACTCCAACAAATCCACCCCCATTCAAATAAAGAAAGAAAATTGATTTATCAGAAGTGGCCATGTTGGCGTTGGCTGGATGCAGCCGATACTAAAATACATCATTTCCCCCTTGACCTTGGTCTTCCCCCCCACCCCCTGGATGCATATTCTCCAATGGGACACATCCATAGCCAAGAGGCATCAATCACGCTCTCCAGTAAATATACTTGCGCTCTGACAACTTTGGGCTGCCAAGGTGATTATCTAGGCACTTAAGGAATGCACTGTTTTCCACCCACTCCCTATTCCTGGCAGCTAAAAAGGCCAAAGGAGGAATATCTTTTTAGTTGACAGCTAGCTCATCTGGTATCTGGTCCCCGAGGCCAAGACCAGAACAAAACAAAGTCATCACCAAGCTGTGTTCCTCGTAATGGGACAGGCTTCAATCCGTAGTAGGTATGCTATCGGTTCGGCCCGATGTGGTTTCTGGCCTCTGACATAATTGCCTGCTCCTGTCACACGCGATCCAGCGACCCTGCAACCCGGTTTGTCTCCCCCCCCACCCCCCAAGGCCATTTGACTGGTGGCTTGGGAGTGACGCGGCCGCTGTCTCTACAGGGAGAAAACCGTCCTGCTCTCCTCCAACCGGAAGCTGGAGAGGAAGATGAAGGAGGTGAGCATCCAGATTGACGAAGAGAGGCAGCACGTCAACGACCAGAAGGACCAGGTGAGGACCTGCCCAGGGGGAGGCTCAGCAGTTCTCGTCCTCCTGGGAAGATTGGAGCTCTTTGTGAGGTGTGTCAAAACTCACAAATCAGGCTTGGAAAGGATTTCAATGCCCAGCAGCCGGAAAGGTTCCCTGAGATGGGCCACCTGCCCAAGATCTGAAGAAGGTCGGAGGGTTGAGTGTTGCTTTGGGCCAAGCCATTCTCTGATGTTGGCTTAATGGGTGGCGTTAGGGTTCGTTCAACCCTAACCCAAGCAAGGCTGAGTTAGCATGATCCACGATCGCAGCCTGGAGGCCCATAATTCCTGCCACAGACTATGCAGATTGGTGAGGGAGAACTTCCACCAGGGACCCACCTAAGAAGCTTGGCCTCAGAGCATGCTGGGAAGGGTGGTTTCAGCAAACATGGGTGAGGGAGAGGAGGGGTCTCCAACCCACCTTTCAGCTTTGGGGGGGCTGACTCTCACCATTGGCATGTTCTTCCCTCTTTCTTCGCCAAGCTGAGCCTGCGGGTCAAGGCGCTGAAGCGGCAGGTGGACGAGGCAGAAGAGGAGATCGAGCGGCTGGAGGCGGCCCGTAAGAAGGCCCTGAGGGAGCTGGAGGAGCAGCACGAGACCAACGAGCAGCTCCAGAGCCGGGTCAAAGCCCTGGAGAAGGACCTCTGGTGAGCCGAGTGGACCCCTGGGGGTCCGCCTTTCTTGGGTATCCCCTAAACATCTTCGCTGGGCTCAGCACCCGAGATTAAACGGGTGTTCCTTTTATAGCTTAAAATCTGTCTATATGTCAGGATTCCGGCAGTTTGCCCCCCATTTAAATCATGAGTCTCGAGCCAAACTTCCAAAACTTCAGAAGGATTTATGGGGAGTTAAACAGGCCAGCACTGCCTGAGTGCAGCCGACTCCGAGACACATCATTCACGGTCACTCTTGACCCTGGTTTCCCCCCCTGGGTGTATCGTAATTCATATTCTCCAATGGGACACATCCATAGCCCAGAGTCATCCATCATATTCTCCAATTAGAATTTTGCCCAGCAGAAACTTCAGTCACCTAGTTACTATTTTTGAAAACATTTATGGAATGCAGTTTTGGTTTGCAAGCTGCCGCACTGCTCCCCCCTCTCTTTCTGTTGGAAACTCTAAAAAGACCCTAGAAATATTTTATGAGTTCACAGTCTACCTACTTGGTCTGTCCATCTATCCATCCACCCACCTGCCTATCCACCTGTCTGTCCATGCATCCATCTACCTACTACCTGTCTGTCATCCATCTATTGGTCCATCTATCTGCTTGGCCGTCCATCATTGGTCTATCTGCCTTTCCACCCATCTAGCTACTTGCCTGTCCATCCATCCCTTACCTTTCCTCCCACAGCTCCATCCATCCATTCGTCTACCTTCCTACTTGGCTGTCCCATCATAGATCAACTACCTACCTACTTGTTTATCCGTCTGTCCTTTCATCCATCCATCCGGAAGGGACGGACAAGCTGTTTTCCCACAAGTCGGAAGCTGCAGGTTCCTTCACATCCTCAAATTTGAAACAACGCCCCCAAAATGCAGCCCCCACCCCACCCGGAATTCACCCCTCCTGGGTTAAAATGGAAATCTTGATGGTTGGAAACAGAACCTCCATGCCCAGGGGCAGTTTATCTGACCACAGTGCCTGATTACATGTGGTAGCCTATAACATTGGACCTTTCTGATCCCTGGAAAATGTCTCCCCACTGTTTGAGCCCATCGTCCTGGGGTAGACCCCTGCTTAACCGTGCCCTCCCTCTTTTTGGGTTCCAGGCGCAAGGCAGCGCGGTCAACGGCCGAGTCCTCTCTCCGGGACGACCAGCTGAGTTCGGATGAAGAATTCGACAGCGCTTATGGCCCGTCCTCCATTGCGTCGCTTCTGACGGAAGGAAACCTCCAAACCAGCTCCTGTTAAGGCCCCTCTTGGGGTTTGTTTGGATGCTCTTTGCAAAACCCACGGTGGGGCGGGGTCCCTGGCCCACAGGGAGAGAGAAGATTTCTTCCCCAATGGGGTCACCAAAGCAACCCACTTCTTGATTTAAAAAAAAAAAAAAAACCAAAATTGGAGGAAAGGTTTTTATTTTGGGGTTGCTACGGGATGGAAAACCAGAGGTCCAGTCCGTAAAAGAAAAAAAATGGAGTATTATTTAGGTTTGTTTGCATTTTTAAAATCCGGTTCTCAGGGCATTGATGAGCGGTGAAATAACAGAGCCTCCTTTTAAATATGTATATTTTTTTGTACATACATGTACGTGGTTGCATGGAGATGGCGACAGTGTGCAATTATATTGCAGAACAATCCAGAATGGTGGAAATCGTTGCATGGAATTGAAACCAATGGGGGTTTTTCTTCATCCTGGCCTCTCTGGGAGCCCCTCTGGGAGAAATAGTTGCAGTTTCCCCAACTGAATCTCTCCTGCATTGGCTTGGCTGTTGACCCCCCCCCTCCCCCAGAAATCTCAACCAGAAGTGGCCTTCCAGGTGTGTCTGAATCCCCAAACTCTCTTCAGACCACTGGCTGGAGATCTGGTGGCAGGTAGTTCCATAGGATCCGGAAGATGGCTGCCCCTCTCCGACTTTTCCCCGCTCTGTTTTCCTCATTTTAAAGGAGTGCCTTTCTGACTTTCTCCCCCAGAAGCAAAAAGATCATTTTGAGTGGACAACTAGAGGCCACGTAGACCATCCCACTTTTGGCACCCTCCCCCCTCCAGGAGGGTGATTCCTGATGCTTTCCTCCCGTTAAACCAGCCAGGATTGGGTCGAGGATTATGGAGAGTTGCCAAAACCATAGCTGGTTAGTCCTCTGTCCGTTTCACACTCATATCGGTGACAAGAAGCGAATTTATGGGAAAAAAAACCAACCAACCAACCCAGATTTAATCTGCAGTGTGTTCGTCTTTCTGACTATTCTACAGACAGCACCCCTTGTTTTTGTGATTGGAAAACGGGTCCGGTTCAAGTAATCTCCATGAAATCACCGTCCTTTGCGCTCCTTTACAAGATGTCGGTCAAAAGAAGACCCCGGTTTACAACGGGCCCATAAAAAAAAAAACCTTTCCACAACCTTGATATTTGGGGACCGAGAAGTCCCTTCGTCCGTCAGTGCCTCCAAGCCCAGAGGCGGATGGGACTCGGAACCACCACCTGGTGGGCACCTGGTTGCAGAAGACAAACTTCCTCTGAAGGCAGGTGGGCAGGTGGTCTCATTTCCCCCTGTTAGAAGGAAACACAACTCGGTACTCGGTAAACACAACAGTCGAAACTCGGTAACCTGGCCAAGAAGGGGAACAAAAACAGAAGGAAAATAATAATGATAATAATCACCCCCTTTTTAACAATTCTCTCCTTTAACTGCATCAAACCTGTCCTCCTCATAGCATCTCTTTGGGAGGCAGGACTGCAGTTTGGACGCTAAATCGGCAGTTTTTAAAAGCCGCCTTCTCTCCCGTTTTAAGAGCGACGCGGCTGCAGCAAATGACATTTCTGTTTTTCCAGTCCCGGCTTGTGTTTTCACGCCAGAAGAGGTGAACCCATCAGCCTCGGCGCGTCGACAGCTCCTTGGCATCCCAGCGTGATCCGGATTCCTGTCTGGTGAGGCTGGTTTTTGAATCTGCCGGTGAGCTGGCAGAGAAGAACGCGGCTGCTTTGCAAAAAAAAACCTGCCGCGTTGGCAAATTTATTTGTTTTTCTCTCCGGGGACCCAACTCAGGTTCCACCAAAAAAGAAATCGCCTCTCCAGGCCACGCCTGCCACCAAGTGCCTTATTGTCAGTTGAGCAAAGGACAACTTTTTTCCTGGGGTTCCCCTGCCTGGCTGGCCGGGAACGTGCTCGGAAACGCAACGCAAGGTCCCTCCCTCGGCACCCAGCCCGGGGGGGAGGGGGATTATGGGACTTGAAGTCCCCAAAGTCTTAAAAAGTTGCCAAGGTTGGACATCCCCTGACCTTTAAGGCATGGCCAACAATTTTGCTTCCGCAAACCTCCCCCCCCCACCCCCCAATTAATCCAATTTAAATTCAAAATCCCAATCCGTAGGAAATGTCGGCGTTTTCACCAAGGCATGATTTTTTAAGTTTTTCAACAAAGCTCAACTTTATCCACCAGCCCAGCTCCGAATGTTTGCATTTCTTTTTGTCATTCGCCGAGAGGGGGAAAAAACCCAAGTTTTGAGCCAAGATGATGAGATTTGCAACGGAGCTGTACCATTTTAAATAGCTGCTAATGCAATCTGGGCTGAAGAATGGATCATCTTTTTTATTTCCTGGAGCTTTATTATATATATATATATATATATATATATCTATAAAATATATATATATTTTCCTGGTCTCGGACAAAAATCAAACCCCTTGTATGTTGATTTTTCAAATAAAAGAGCTATATTTATCGAGTTGCTTGGCCACTGGTTTTTATTCTTGTGGTTGGATTTGTCTCCTTGCTGGATTAGGAGATTTCCCATCCCTTCGAGAAAGGTTTCTTTCCTTTGGGGCCGATTGCAAATATTTTCACGCCACACACATCACTGTGCAAAAATCGCCTCTTGATTCCACACCTCTATTCTACCATGTCTCTTCTGCGTTTCCATATTTGGCGTCCTTCCTTTCTCACCTTCACACAATCCTAGGAGGTGTGTGACATAATTCGATTCCAAAGAACGTTTTCTGCCTTTAAAACTTCCTTTCTCTTTATAATCCCCAGACATTATTCTCAGTTCCCCACCCTGCACCTAATCTCTGGAAAATCCACTTTATCCTTGCCGCAAATATTTTTTTTTTATCCGCCGGTCAGTATTTCTTGCTCGCAGGTGGCCTTTTTCGCTCACGGCCTCCCTTTGCGGCGTCTGGCCGATCCTCGCAGAGATCACAAGATAAGTATTAAATCCCCATTTTCCCACCCGATTTCTCGGCGATCCTTTTATCCATGGGTGCTCCTCAGAGCAAAATTGTGGATGTAAAACTTGCAGAAAACAGCTGGTCGAGCTGAGCACCCAGCCCAAGATCCCAAAATAAGAGCGGCCCTTTTGCACCATGGAGATGTTTTTCATTCAGAAAATAAGATTATTATTATTTTTTAAAAAAGAGTTGGCATTCGTATCCAGAACAAACACCATCAAACAAACACCATTTGACTTGGTGCCTTGAGTTTGGTGTCTCAAACTCTGGAATTATTTATTCAATTTGTTAGATTTTTTTTTTTTAATGCCACGTTTATAATCGGGCGTGATCTTCCCAAGCGTTTTGTCCTGATTTTGACTTATTTCGAGGTTCAATCTGGCTTATTAACCATGGTTTATGGACTGAACGGCACTGCGGGGGGCCCAGAATGTGTGTGTATGGGTAGGGTTTCCACCAAACCCTCATCAAGCCATCTTGGACCTTAGCTAACATCTCAAGCCAGCTTGTGCCTCTGAGAATGGGCAGAGTTCTTGTGCTGGATGGGGGCAGGGGAGAGAGAGAGAAAGGGGTTGCCTTGTCTTGAAAGGGGTGGATTGAGGCAAGATAACAGAATAACGGAGCTGGAAGGTACCTTGGAGGTCATCTAATCCAACCCCCTGCTTAAGCAGGAAACCATTTCAGACTAATGGCTGTCCAATCTCTTCTTAAAAACCTTGGAGCACCCATGACTTCTAGTGGCAAGCCGTCCCACTGATTAACCCCCCCCCCAAAAAAAACTTAAAGGACCTTGGAAGGTCATCTAGTCCAACCCCCTGCTCAAGCAGGAGATTCTATATCCCATTTCAGACGAACGCTTGTCTACTTAAAACCCTCCAGCCTTGGGAGCAACTTCTGGAGGGAAGCTGTCCGACAGATGCCCTCAAGGGTTCCCACTTCCCATTCATTTCCTGCCCCTGACTCACACAGCGGCTCCACGAGACCCGTGGCCTCAGTTTCCCTCCCGTGGAAGACAAACAAAAGTGAGTCACACCCTGAAGTGCATTCCTTCCAGGATACGATGGTGAACTTTGGGGCTGGGTGTCAGGCGCTTTAAATGCCACCTTTAATCTATGCGGGTGAGAATTGGAGATTTTTTTTCTCCTTCCTTTGCTTCTTTTCCTAAGCTGCTTATTATTAACCATCCTCCAGCAAGCTGGCAGGGGAAAAAAAAGACTGACACCCTTTTTGGGTGGTTTCCCCCCTTGGGCGGGAAAGAGGAAAAATAAACACATCCTTCTTCATTCTTAGCTTTAATGAATTAAAAAACCCTGCAGAAAAAATGACGGGGAGAATTCCTTTTTTTTTTAACCTTTGTGTGTCATTGAAACTTTTAAACCAGGAGATTAAAAAACGATTGCAAACTTAATATAAAAGAAAGGCGAGGAGAGAGGGGGGAAAAAACCCAAATCAAAACCCTTGTATGTTGATTTTTAAAAAATAAATAATATTTTGCAATAAAGGGGAAAGGAAGTTGAAGTTGAAAACAGATACGCAGAAATGGCTTCCCATCGCCTCGCAGCAGTTATAAGTGGAAAAAAGTAGTTTAATCTTCCTTTTTAAAGTTTATATTCCTCTCCTTCCCATCCTCTCTGCTATCTAATTGCCCAATAGTAATAATTATGCAAAACGTCCATAAAAAGATGCAGGGAAATAGCAAAGGAAAATAGCATTTATTCCTAGAATCTGGAGTTGCACCCAAAGAAATTGGGGCCAAAAATAAAATAAAATAAAATTAGGATCCAAAGCTATTCTCTGATCCTTCCAATTCATCTTGAATCATAAAATTAATAAATGAATTAAAATAATACATAAATTAATAAAATCTGCTGCTTTAAGAGGGAACCGAAAGATCTACTTAGAATTCTAGATCTAAGAGCTATTTGTCACATGAAATGGAGCCTCTGTGTATAGGAGCAGTGTATCTTTGCAGGTTAAGAGCGCGAACAAAAGGCCATTGTGCTCGCGTTGCCCAATTAGAGATCAGTTGATGAGATCAGTTCGTTCTTTTGTTTTAGAACCGAAGAACAATGTAAATTTTGCGACACACATTGAACAACTCTCTTACCCAACCTCAACCTGTTGGGGACGTGACCTTGCCAGTTTCTCCATCTGGAATATCCCCCCCCCCCCAGGCCTAAAACCCAAGGCAGCCCAGGTAAATCGCCGCTCGCTCGCAGGATAAGACACCGAAAGGGTCATTGTCCTCCTTTTACCTGCTTACACAAGTGTGTGTGTGTGTTAAGACACACAGGTGCCCCCCTCCCTCCGATGTCAAGTAGGGCAGTTTGAGTGCCAGGCCTTGCTGTGAAAACTCAAGCACGGGCTTTGTGTTTGTCTCTTGTTTGTGACACAACTGTCTGTGACGTCCGGCTGGACAATCGTATTTTGGAAGAAGGAGAAGGAGAAAGAAGGAGGGAGGAACAGAATGAGGAGCAGGAGGAAAAGGAGAAGAAGAGAAGAGAGGAAGGAAAAACAATGAGGAGGAGGAGGAAGAGAAAGAAGAGATGGAGGAAGGATGAAGGGAGGAGGTGGAAGAGAATAGGAAAGAAGAACAGGGAGGAGGAGGAAGAGAGAAGAGGTGAAGGAAAAGGAGAGATGAGGAAGAAAAGGAAGAGAAGAAGAAAGGAGGAGGAGGAAGAATTAGAAGAGTAATGGGAAGGAGATGGAGGAGGTGGAAGAGGGAAGAAGGAAGGAAGAAGAAGCAGAAGAAGGAGGAGGAGGAGGAGGAGGAGGAGGAGGAAGAAGAAGAAGAAGAAGAAGAAGAAGAAGAAGAAGAAGAAGAAGAAGAAGAAGAAGAAGAAGAAGAAGAAGAAGAAGATAATAATAATAATAATAATAATAATAATAATAATAATAATAATAATAATAATAATAAAACCTGTTACATATAAATTCCACTCTGCCAATGGAAACTACTGTCAATCATCTCTCCTTTTTAGACCTCTGGTCCAGAAATGTATCCTTTCCATTTTTCTACCAATTCTTTGTGATAATCAGATGCACAAATTTTGTGTGTGTGTGTGTGTGTGTCTCCTTTCCTTTCTGGTAGTTGGAGAAGAGCCACCTTAGCTTTAAAAAGAAAAAAAAAAGTGTGTGTGTGGGGGGGGGGGGAAGGCATCTTGGCCCAGCCCCAATTTTTATTTTAAGCTTTTAATCTCCTGCTTTCCCCCCAGACGGGTCGGTCAGCCAAGATACTCCCAGGCACTTTCCCTTCTCCACCGGCCTCGCCCAGGTGATGATAAGAGGCCAAACTCTCTTTTAATTGCTCAGCAAAATCGAGTCCTTCCTGCTTGAACCCGGTTATCCGTCCCAGTGACTCAGCCGGAGAAGCCGCTGGGGGGGTGGTGGTTTCAGAATCACCCCTTTAATTCTCTTTCCCTCCTTCTTGGTCCCTTCCTCCTTCTCTCTCTCTCCCCCCCCCCCCCCCGCCTCCTCCTCCCCCCCCCCCCCCCCCCCGCTCTGCTGAGTTGATGGCCGGCCCCACGTTGGGTTGGGTTGGCTTGCAACGAGACAAAGTTGGCCGTCCTTTCTTGCAAACAAGCATTGAGTTGCGTATTGTGGGAAGACTTCAAAGAAGAGACCGGACTGCCACCTGTCAAAAATGGTGTAGGTAGAGTCTGCTTGGGCAGGGTGGGGTTCGACTAGATGACCTACAAAGT